AATCAGAAATACGAAGCCCTTTCTGTTCTATTGATGTCTTAGAGATGTCCCCTCTATGTAACTCACTGAAAAAAAAATGTTAAAAAAGGTAAAAACATAAAGGTGTTGTAGGAAATGGCTCCTCTGCCCAGTGCCCCCCAGCACCCGGTGATGGGGTCGCACTGGTCTGTTGGCTGCAGGTTTTTTTGAGGGCCCATGGCCAATTTCGGCAGCTCAGCATGAGCTCCTGTTACTGCTGAGCATCCCGAGCACGGCACATTGCATCCCCGCTCCGTCTCTGCTGCCTTCTGTGTCAGCACAGTGATTTTGGCTGGGAAACACTTGTTGTGGAGAGGTTTTCCTCCCAGTATTTGGGAGAAATATCCCTTTAGGGCTGGCACTTGTCCCGCAGCCCCCAGCTGGGTTTTCTGTGCGCGGACACGCACCAGCAGACACCGCTGTCTCTGCAGCACAAGGCCGGCACTTTTGTTCATACAAATAACTACTTTCATGGCTCCCAACAATGACGCTTGTCCCCTTGCGTGCACACGAGCTCATGGCTGTCACACTGTGCAGTCTGATGTCCCGTTACTGTCCCTGGGATTAAGGCTGCCCAGAGAGGTTGTGGAGTCTCCTTCTCTGCAGACATTCAAAACCCGCCTGGACGCCTTCCTGTGTAACCTCATCTGGGTGTTCCTGCTCCGGCAGGGGGATTGGACTGGGTGAGCTTTGGAGGTCCCTTCCAATCCCTAACGTTCTGGGATTCTGTTCTGTGATTCTATGATTAACAACGCAGCACACCCCAAATAGACCATCCCCTAAATCCCTTTGCGGTCACAGGACAGTGGATACCAGAGGGAGCATCTCAGTGTATGAGCAGCTCTTGAAAATGAAACCTTTGCTTTTGGGTTTGCCCCTTCAGTCTGTGCAGTGTTTGAGATGTTTTGGTGGGGAGCCCTGGCCCCAAAGGATCCTGCAGTTATTTCCAGTATATCAGCAATAACTTACACTGCTCAAGCTGCATTTCAGTCTGTCCATACCTGGAAGTGCAAGAGCCTGTAGGCTTCAGGAGTTTAAATCTTCACAAAATCTTTGAAACCAATGGGGTTTCATGGATTTAGCTTATCTAAAGATATTTCTATTGTTGCTAATCGTTAATTTGCATAGAATAAAGTAAAATTCCAGCTGAAGTGAGGATTTGGTAGCGCTGAAGCTCCTCAGCCCTAGGCTGACTCTCCAACCCCTCATCCCCAGGGAAGGACAGGGTCGGGTCACTATGCAGGGCAATGTTTGGTCCCGGTCGTGCCAGGAGGGGACTCCAGTGAGGGCAGTGACACCCCCATTTGTGTCGTTCTCACTCCTGTGCCTGTTCTGCTTTGGGAGGGATGTGCAGGGCACCTCTGCGGGTTGGGGCATCTCTGAGCTCCCAGTACCCAGCTGCAGCTTCACTGGTGGGCACTGTCATGTCCTGACCATCGCTTCCATCCCTGCTGGTTTCTAAGTGCACATGGAAAGGCCACCACAGCCATCGCCTCCACAGACTCCTTCCTTCTCCCTCTGAGCAAATCTGCACTGAACACAGCCCCTTTTTGACCATGGAGAAGGGCAAACAGGCTCCTGTCGTCCAGGTCTTCCCCTGAGGACCCTTCCCTGCCTGCCCCCAGGCTTTGCAGAGCAGTTTCCAGTGCTCTGCCCATCTCGGTGCTGGTGGTACATTGGTGTGGACAGACCATTACCAGCGCTGATCAAATCCCTATTATCTGGATCTCGTAATCCGTGGATGTTATTCTTGGCTACATTCAACCTTTATCATTTTGTCCCTTTTAATCCTTAAAGATTTAACTGAAAGAGTCCTCTGCTAATTCCTGTGTAGTTCCTTTTGAAGCAGGATTATTATTTAAGTGCTGCCAAGGGAGCTGATTTTTCTCTGGGAAAATCTCATTAAGGCTTCGTCATTCCAGTTGGGAAGATGTTCCCAATGCCGGCCCCTTCACCCACACTGGGCAATGGGAACCCATGGCATCTCTAAATCACTGCTGCCCCCTTTCCTTGGTCACCTCAAGCTCCCCATGGGACACATGGCCACGAGTATCAGCCAAGCTCACAGAAGAGAAATTCCCTCTCACATTGTTGCGTTTCAGTTTACTTTTATCAGTTCCTTACTTTTATTTCCTGTAAGCAAAAACCAAAAATTCTTATAGCCCTTGTCTGTCAAAAATAATCCTTCTAATTAAAATTATTCTCCAAAATCCCCCTGTATCATTCAAATTATTTGCCTGACATCCAAATGCAAGCAGTTAAAAGCTTGTATTGTGCTGCTCCTCATGTCCTCGGGCTGTGGAATAACCTGACTCCACCTCCTGCATCCATCACCCTAACACAGCGTGTAAGAAAGGAGCTGTAATGTGCACAAATGGTTCATTCATGGCAGCAGGTAGAATTCTGTGCCTGTGGCTGCAGACTGCCCCATTTCTTTAGCTATAAAGCAAGCAGGCTTTTTAAGACCTGCGTTATAGAAAAATCACTGGTGTGTTGCACCTCCTCTTGCTATCTTGGTCAGTTAATACCAGGAATTTTACTTTTTCCCCCCACTTTTTTCTTCTCTAAGTCTCAGCCTCCTCTGACCAATGTGGGTTTGCAGTGACTGCTTCTCCTGCTTGGTTTTCTTGGCTCTCAAAAGCTTTGCCTGGTTACTCCCAAACCTCAGCCCCCTCCCAGCTTCATGTCCCATTTGTACATCCCTGAGGTGGTGGGGATTGCTATTGCTCCCTAATGGGTGCAGGGGTTTGCTCTTAGAATTCAAATCAGGCTGCTCTGTTATCATCATCTTCTTCTTCATCATCATCATCTATGCTATATTATTAGTAGCAGTAGTAGTAGTGTTTCACTGTTATAATTTCTTGTTATTTCATTACGACAGCTGCCCTGAGCTGTTAAGCCTCTTTACTGGTGCCTGGACGTTGGAACCGTGCTGCTGTGCTGTGGGTTTGACTGGGAGTCAGGATGAATAAACCAAAGCATTGAAGGTCATCCTCCAAAAAGATTATCTACGTTAATAAGGTTGGTATTAACAAGGTTGGAAATATTTTTCTGAATTTGAGCTTTTTTGTGTATTTTTATAGTGAAACTTAAATAGATGTTTAAAATACAGGTTTACTTCAAACTGGAATTGCAGTGGCTGTTAAAACTTATTCCAAATACATTTTTGGACTGAGAAATACAGTAATCTGCAGGATATTGTTGTATCCAAGCAAGTCAAAGTTTTCCTCTGACACAATTTTCATTACATTTTACACTTCTCTGTAAATTGTCCTGGTCCTTGGGTCAGGAGCTGGCCCAGACCTCGGCTGAGTTTCCACGGCCATGGTTTATATCCAAAATTGGATAATTGCACAAGAGAATTACTACAGAGCTTGTGCAGCAGCATGAGGATCTTCCTTCCATAGCGCTGGGACAACGTAATGGTGATTTAAGAAAAGATCCCTCAGTTTACAAAGTGTGAGAGAGACAATGGGGAACATCCATATTTTGGGATGGAGCAGACAGTACCTAAAAATGGCATTGACAGACAAAAAATATCCTATTTCTTCCTACTTTCATTTGTATTTGTCTCATATTGCAAATCCTTTAGCGAGTTTGTCTTCCTCTTAGGCTCCCTATGCCCAACAGTTATACTAAGCTAGAATATGTTTTTTTGCAAGGATATGAGATCTCAATAACTCCCATGCTCGCTCTTTAATAGTATTGATTATAAAGGGCCTTTGGGTTTCATTGATGATCTGAGATTTTAACTTGAGCACAGTCTCTACAGATTTAATTATGCTTACCCATTCTGCAACGCCGCTGTGTGTTCTTGGGCAAAGTCTCTGAGAATTCTGAAATATAAATCAAGAAATGCACGTAGCTTTTAGTACTGAACTTAGAATTATTGTTTTAGTGAAAAAAACTGAATTTATTACTATGATTTGTCTATGTTGTATACTTTATAAATGTGTTGGGATGAATGGGTTGGCATAGAGTGCAAACTATATTCATATACGAATTCTGTAAATTTGAGTCCATTTTTGCCCGGTGCTCTGCTGTTTAATAGAATTAATTTGCTTGTCTGAGGTTTTTTGGGTGGTTTTTTTTCTTAGATTTAACTCAAAGTCTCTCAGTGCAAATAAAACTCCTACACTGTTACCAGACTTGGATAAACCCGCACAGCTCTTAATTGCTGTTTTGATGATGCACCGCACGCCCCTGTGTAGAGATCTGCTGTTGCCTTTGGGTACTCCCTGCTCGCTTCTGCATCTTCCTGCTATTTTTGTGACTTCTCTTATTTTCACCGTGAATATCTGAACAGGATTTGTAGGAAAACATTGATTTTCTTCATGCTTTTTATATTCTGCCTATACTGAAAACAGATTTCCAAGCCATGAGTGTGTCAGGGCATGGTGCTTGAATATCCCTCCCAAACATCCCCACCCTCTGCAAATGAATTAAGAGACAGAAAACATTCATAGTTTGTGATTGCGATGTTTGGCTCTATCCAGGTGTAATAATACTACACCTGAGCTCTGTCCAGTCCTTACTTAATCAATGGAAAAACCACTTTAACTCATGCTTTTTAGACATGTCCGTATCTCACCATGCATTAGGTGGGTACCATATCACCATCCTGGTGCTCTGACATAAGGACAAACTTTTTTAACATGAGGACAAAGTTTGTGAGTGTGAGGGTTATGGAGCATGGCCCAGGCTGCCCAGAGAGGTTGTGGAGTCTCCTTGTGTGGAGACACCCAAAGCCCTGGCCGTGTTCCTGTGTGACTGCTCTGGTGATCCTGCTCTGGCAGGGGTTGCACTGGGGGAGCTATCCAACTCCTCATATTCTGGGATTGTGTGATTCTGTGACCCTGGTTTTGTGGTTTCCCTCCCTGCAGAGCAGTAAGAAGATGTAGTGTTGGGCCCAGGACGAGAAGCCCCGCACGCGCTGGGAGCAGGGCCCCGGGCAGGGCTCCCCTCCCGGCCCCAGCCTCACCATGTCCAAGAAGGGCCCCGGCGGCCGAGCCAGGGGGGAGAAGCTGGACGCCTTGGCTGCCCTACAGGCTGCCAATGAAGAGCTGAGGGCCAAGCTGACCGACATCCAGATAGAGCTGCAGCAAGAAAAGAGTAAGGTGTGCACCTTTTCCTTGCCTTCCCCCGTTAATCAAAACATAACCTGATGTTTCTGACTGCTGACCGCTCTCTGCGTAGCTGGCTTGTACACGGCTTCGGTGATTAATCAGAGTGCATGCACCTGGAGTAGCCTCCTGTGGGAAATGAGAAGCAATCTGTCATGGTTTAGAGCTGGGCTGGCCACTAAACCCTGGCCAGATGCTCTCTGTGAACCCCTCTCTCCTCCCCAGAAGGGAAGAGAAAAGAGAAGAAAGGAGAGAGACTTTATGGGTTGGAATAGAAAGCTAACAGGTTTAATGAAACAATAACACTGATACTACAGGATAATAATGTAAAGAGGAAAATAATGAAATCTATACAGATATGTACAAATATATCTACAAAACCAATATAAAATCCTCCCCCAATGACCATGACGTCCCCAGAGGCTCTGGGAGCACTGGAAAAGTCCCAGTGTGGACCCAGCAGCAGTGGGAGCTGATGCAGGAACACAGGGCTCAGGATCAGAGGCAGCCGAAGCAGCAGGGTCTGCTGGGCCTTGGGCCATTGCAGGGGTGGAGAGGGAAGGAAGGGTCCAAGCTGGAAGGGTCCAGCCCCTGGTGATCCCTGGGCTCTGCACTGAGTGTGGCGTGTGTGGGATGCAATCCCTGGTTGGGCAGGTTTGGGTCTGCTCCTCCTGTAGGTGCAGACACAGCCCCCATGGTGAGACAGTGGCCTTGTGCTGATCACTTGTAGCAGTGCACACTGTTGTTAAACCATGCTGCTGGTGTCAGCAAGTTCAGCCACTGAGAAGAGCCTGAGCTGGAAAGTGAAATCACTGAATAGAAAATCAGTTCTGTTGAGCTCAAACCAGGACACAACCCCTTTATTGCAGATTTTTAAATTGTTCTCATTGTATTTATACTGTGTGTATGGTGCACGAGAGCTCTGAAAGCAAAGGTGCTTTGGTGGTACGACTCTCACTGGGAAAGCAGAGCAGTGAGGATGGGCAGTCCCTGGGCAGGCAGGACTCGGCTCGGGCAGCACCTTGCTCCTGCCATCCAGGATGAAATGAAGTTGAAAAATCACAGCTGAGTGCCAGCAAAAGATCTGGAAAAGCAAACATCTGCTCAGAACAGATGGCGTAACCGTAGTGGTGGGCTGAAAGCTGTCCACGTCCCTTGTTGTTCTCACTACAACGTCTTCTAGTAAATGTTTACCTATTTATGAGGATGACTACGTCGAGGGTTTTGAATGCAATTTTGTGTTAGTCAGAAATTTTCTTTACTGATTCTTCTTTTACACATTTACACTTTTTTCACGCAGATTTTGTGCTCAAAATCCTTCAGTCCAGCTGTTTACAGTTTCCAGATGTAGGGTAATAGGCCTCAGCTCTGCCTCGGGCTCCATTTAAGGAGCCACAGTTTCACCCTGAGCCTTTAAGAAAGCAGCGGCTGATCCAGCTTGAGCCTCAGCTTCAAGAGCTCTCAGCCATGGCCTTCAGACCACTTCTCAGTGACGGCATGAAACATTGATCTGCTTTTCCCTAACCCCTGAAATTAGTTTCTACTGATAAACTTTGGGGCGTTTTGGTTCCAGAATGTTAAAAGACATGGATTACCATGCAGGGACAGAATGATATCCTGCATTTTTCCATTAATTTGCTTCATTATTAGGCCTTGTAGACTCTGAATCCTATATAGACAGACAGACTTCTATCTCTATCATCTATCTCTATCATCTGTCTCTATCATCTATATCATCTGTATCTACATATCTCAATAGAACATCTATTAATCCTGTTGCTGTGAAGCAGCACTTGCAGTTTTAAGACTGAAGCCCCTATTTTCTCCCTGTTCTCCCAGCCACTTCTCAGCACGGCTTCTTTTGAGTTTATGCTATGGTTTTAAATGGAAATGTCATTTGACCCCTCTGTAGTTAGTTATTCGTACTGAATAATTCATTGCTTAAAAAGCATCTGATAAAACGCAGTTGTTTGGGGCTTCGCAGTAACTTGCTCAGAGCCTTTACATCTTGCATATACAAGTGCACACGGTGCAGTTTGGGTCTGTGTGCCCGAGCCTGCCAAAATAATGGCTTAGCATCTGATTTCTCGTGTATTCCACTGGGATGTGGTGTAAGAGCTTCTGCAGATACAAAAATAAAGTAAGGACTCAGAGTTACTCCACAAGATCCTGGCTAATTCCTAAATATGTGTTGTCGTACCCATCAGCCTGTCTCTAGCGCCCATTACACACACGTTAGCCCAGTTTTGGAGCATGCACTCCCCGTGGTGTTTGGATAGGGATGCGGAGTTCACCCAGGTTTCGGGCTTGTATAAATTCATTATACTTATTTATATTGTGTTAACTCGTGCTTTTAGAGCACCAAATTGGGCAAATTAGAGAGTCTGTGAGATTGCAATGGATTATTATTTAGTTATAAAAATAAAATACGATGCTAAAATCAACATTTGTACCTAGACTTTCATCCTCAGTATCAATACTTTGCAAAATAATAATGGTACATCTTTGTTTCTCTTCTAAATATACAAATATTTCTAGCTATGCTGGTTTACAGTGAAAGAAAGGTCTTTTCTACAGATTTTTCGGGGTTCTTTTTACTATTTTCACAGATTTCTTAGGCAGAACCCTGGAAGTTCTCTGTAATGTCGCAGTTCTTCCTTTACACCTGCACGCTTTGGTTCTGCTCTCATCTGTGGGAGAGGCTTGGGCTCCTTCTTAGCAAGGAAACCTTATTGTGCCAGCTGAGGAAGAGAAATACATCTTTACCAAACAGCATTGACCAGGACACTTCTCCAAAATTCAGTAATTAAATACAACATAGTGAATATCCACAACTTAATTTCAGCATTTAAATATGCGCACAGGATGTTCTGACAAGCTTGATAGGGCAGAAAAACCCTATAACCCCAAAGAGGTGAGCAGTGTCTCTGAATAAACCTGCCCAAAGGAGGCGCGTAGTTCTGCACAAGGTAATAGAACATTGAGGTCTAATACTGCAAAGTGATCCATATGATTTTTAGATACTATCGTAATTTGTATTAATCATTCCATTAAAAATATATTTTTTTACAATTTGCCTTGTAGGTCAGCAAGTTGGAAAGAGAGAAAAATCAGGAGGTGAAGCAGATCAAAGAGCACGAACAGCATAAGAGCACGGTGGTGGTAACAGAGCTCAAAGTCAAACTTCATGAGGAGAAAATGAAGGAGCTTCAAGCTGTTCGAGAAGCACTTTTGAGGCAGCACGAATCTGAACTACTTAGGGTAATAAAAATTAAAGATAATGAAATCCAGAGACTCCAGACCCTTCTCAACGCCGTACGCGACGGCGCCCCTGACAAGGTGAAAACGGTGCTGCTGTCGGAGGCCAAGGAGGAGGCCAAGAAGGGCTTTGAGGTTGAGAAAATAAAGATGCAGCAGGAGATTTCGGAGCTGAAAGGGGCTAAGAAACAAGTGGAGGAGGCCTTAACCATGGTCATCCAAGCGGACAAAATTAAAGCTGCGGAGATACGGAGTGTGTATCACCTGCACCAGGAGGAGATCAGCAGAATTAAGAGGGAGTGCGAGAGAGAGATTCGCAGGCTGGTACGTGTTGCTCTCTGCATCTGCGTTTTACTTGCATGTTACCGATAGCGAGCACATGGGGGTTCAGATGGATGGATAAGGATGGGTATTTGAAGTTCTGCAGCTTGCTTCAAATCTGTTTTCCATTTACCAACAGAGACACCAAATGTATTTCTAGTAGTTATTAGGATGTACTGAAAGGAAATTTATTACCCATGTCAGTGCCTATTAACATTGTTCATATTTTGGGTACCAGGAACAGGCCTTGTGTTACCAACATGTTAGGGGAGTTCTACAGAACAGTTTTCCCTTGGCCTATTGCTCTATTTCCCCACCATTCATTTCACCTTGGTCTCTCCCTTTCCCTGCCTTTTCCAGATCCTGTAAACATCCCATAACAAGCTCTGCACAATCCCAAATGCCCTTTCTTCTGCATCCCATAATGAGTCGCATACCCTGTAGGCAATGACCCCCTTCGCTCTGAGGGCGTTCAGGAAGGGGCTCCTCTCTGTGCCACCCACTTGGTGGCTGTCCCCCAGGGCAGGCACTGATACTCCCTCCCTTTGGTGGCCCCATGAGGAGTGACCCAATGGGTTCCTCGCCTTCACTGAGTCTTGGTGTGTCCCCATCCCCTTCGAGCTCCTGATCAAGTCCCACGTTTGAGTCTGGGGTGCAGTAGTGATGTGTTTATGGCTTTGGAGCATTCCTGTTGGGCAACTTGGGGGGATGAAGCGGGATCGCGTGGCTCGGAAAAGGGGAGCGCTCCCAGCGACGGGAGCTGTCTCCAAGAGGGGGTTTTGGCATGGGAGCCTGTCGGGCCACCAAAATTTCTGGGTTATAGGGTGGTTTGTCAGACTCTTTGCTTTACGGTTCGCAGTCCTGTGAGTGCACAGAGGACCGTGTCCCTACACTGGTACCACCATTCCCAAAGACATGGGAACAAATATAACACCCTCACTCTCCTGATGCATATTTTGGGTCCTGTCTCAGTGTGTATTTGAAGTTACCATCTTTTTGTGCTTGCCATGCTTTTTTATAGCACTCAGTGTCTCAGTATAAACTCATTTGTGTCTCTTCTAACTCACGAGCCCTTGATTATTATCCTAATCCTAAAAGAACTAGAAATGCACAATCAGCTTGCGACTGACACCGCTTGACTCAGTGTGCAAGCTCCATCGGTCACAGCAGGGTTACGTACCCTCAATGGAGCCATCCCTTCCTTCAGGCTGTAGCCTGCTAAGCTTTCTTTTCCACTCATAGATTATTTCATTTTTATGAAGAGGATATAAAAAATATTTATAACCAACTGATCTATGGATACTGCTCAAATATCCTGCAGTGTAAGTACTTTCTTCTCCAAACGTGCATTACCAGATGCATTGATTTAATAGATCAGAATGAACGGATGGGTAACGTACATCCTAAATAAACTTGCTGCATTACATGATAAGTCCACGCTAATGGCCTCTAATGTAGGCACTATAAAATAAATACGTTTTTAGTTATAAGGAATAGAGCGGTTTGATGTTATGTTTTCTAAATGACCTTTGAAAATCAAACTTCTTTTTAAATTCCTGCTTGAAAGAATCAGATTATCTAACTGTACTAATTAAATTACATGATGCCATGGTTCCACCGAGCCCTGGGTGCTTCCTGAATGACTCCAAGCACTCCCAGCTCCATTGACTCCACCGCCATTCATTTCAATGGGAGCTGCTGGCTCCTGGCACCTTGCACGGGAGGGCTTTGCCATTTCAGTGGGGGAAAGGCAGGTGCCGTGTTTTGGGATAAAAGCTTTGCAATGATGTGAAGTCCTTTAACATAAAGTAATTTTTCTGAGTTATTTGTCTCTGATAGGTACGGTTTTCCATTTCCAAGTCCAGTGTATCCATGGCTTAGCTTATGGAAAGTATTTCCATTCGTAGTCAGACAAAGATTAGGTTAAAATGGTAAATTGGAACTAATCGACTATTTCAGATTAAAACTAGGGGTTTTTCTTTATTGGACAGACAGAAATACATGTGCTGATGTCTCACTTTAGACTTCTGGAGAGATGTTAGATGGCCTTTAAAGTAACAGATGTGGCAGGGAGCTTCAGTGTTGCACAAAAAGGAGCTGTGCAGCCCTCAAATTTACTTCAAGCAAATTGGAGTTTATTTGGGTCTTCAGCACCATCCTCTCCTGTCAGATTTTGCCAGGGGAGATGTGTGTCTGCTCAGGCTTTCCGAACAACCCGCTCTGCAATGAGCCTTTCCGTTTTGGTGGCTCACTGGGACTGTGGATGAAGTTTAATTGTCACTTCAAGGCAAAACCAGTGGCAGGGAATGAGCTTTTCTTGCTGGGTTCCCAAGGGGAATCCCTGCATTTGTGTCCTCGCCCGAAAGAGGACGACTTGGAGCCTACGGACACAGCAAGTGGGCTGGCACTGGGGAGTTTGGGGTGTTTGCTGGTGGTAATTGGGGTAGTTTTGCACCTCAAAGCCTTGCAGATTGTAACAGCAAACAATGGCAATGTCTCTTTAGAAACAGCTCCTGCTTGGTAATTACCCGATAAAAGTTCTAGCTATTTATTCTAGTTATTTTTCATGTGCTCAGGTAACTGTTACCTCTTGATGCCAGTGGCTTTGGAGCCATCCCATGCGGCAGAGCTCCAGCTCTGTAACAGCACAGGAAAGAACGTGTTTTGCAGAAGCGTACGTTCACGTTCTGCTGGGCTCGTGGTTGCTGTTTGCCCATATGGTTGTGCTGCTCGTGTTGAGCGTTTTGCTCTCTGCAGCAGCACAGCCCTGGCTCGGAAGCTTACAAAATGCTAATGTAAATGATGAAAGTCCCTTGCAGATGGTAACAAGTAAGTCAATATGGCAGCGACCTCCTTTCTAAGGAATTTCTAATTTTAGTAAACTTTTTTTTTTTAATTTTAATTTGTGCATTTTAACACAGCTTGAAACACTACACAGACGTGTTTAATTGCGTTTTTACCGTCTCCCACTGATAACAGCACACCCTGTGTTGGTGTGTGTATGCCCGGGGAAAACAGCCCTTCGCTCAGGAGAATTAACTGGCCTTGAATTTTGCTCAATGGGGACTAAAATCCAGTGTGGCAAAGAGCATTTAGACTTTGCTTAAATGTGGATTGGTCGGAAAGGACCTCGTTTCCTCCTGTGCCCTTATACGGGGACTAGAGCAGAAATCAGACAAACTGAAGAAATGAGATTTGTTAGAGACTGGAAAGAGTTTATTTTCAGTTAAAGACAAACTGTGGTTGGCGATGACCAAAAGGTCTAATAACCTGCTCTAATACCTGGTGTAAGACCGCTGTATGTTGAGACCGCCATGGCCCCACAGGCAATGCAGCACCACGGACAAATCGGAGCTCGGTCTTTTCATCGCTCTGAACCCCGATGTCTGCAGGCGCTTCCCTGCGTTCCTCTGCAAGGTAAACTAGTGAAGGTGTCTGATTTAAAGGACGGTATCAGATGAAAAGTGTAGGAAGCTGACTTGTTAAATATTAATCCTTTTGGTGATTGATTTAGTCTTTATCTTCTCCTCTTTATTCCCTTACATGGGGAAAAATTGCCATATTTGGTATGATAAAGGTATCTCAGCAGTCATCCCATACTGAAAGGCAGACAGATTCTTCACGGTGAATAATTCCTTCTTGTAAATACAGATATTTTTCATCATTCGTTATGCACAATTATTTCTCCTATCCAATATACTTTACTCTTCAAATACAGCATTGCATTGAATTCTGGTACAATATTTGACCTGGCTCCTCTATTTTATCAGCTGTGTTCCCATCACATGCCATGGTGGGAATCAGTGTGGATTTGGTGCTGTTCGTCACACGACAGCCTGACCTGCATGTGCAGTAGGAGTTTAAACGCCTTGAGTTAGGAACTTTAACCGGTCAGCAGCCCCAAGCTGGGTGTAAAATGTAAAATACAGTGGTTGATATGGATGAGCAGTATCAGAACAGCGGCTTGAGTTACTTTTGTAGGGTATTTGGCAAAAGCTGGTTAAGTGAATGTGTCTGGCGGTGCTGCTGAGTGACATGTGTCACCAGGACAGGGCCAATTGAGCTTATTAATGACAGAGAGGGTGAAGGTGACATCCCCCCCAGCCTGTGTTTGGGAACCCCATCCCTGGGGGGGATCACGTCAGGGGTTGACCCCATCTCCCTTCATCAGGACCCTCTGGTGTCAGCCTGGGTGACAGGGCCTGGCAGTGGTCATCAGTTCATGGCAGGGCTCCTGGGTGTCCTAATTGCTGTGACACCCGGCCCATGGGGACACGTTCATCTGTGACAGCTCCAATGGGATGGGGGCTTCTCCTTTGCATTTAAAATACCTGCCCACAACTGACCGTTCTTATCCACCAGCGTTGGCAGCTGTAACGGTGGATTTCTGGGGCATGTGGCCACGTTCCTGATTCTGTCTGGGAATTTGTAGAGGCCTCGGGAACATCACGAGGAGAAATTTCCCAGCCTCCGCGTTGGTTTTACAGTCACGGTGGAAATAATACATTTAAATAGAACCACACAGCTTAAAACCAGCTGCACATCAGACCTAGGGATTGCACCGGGTAGCGCAGGGAGGGAGTAACAAATTTCCCTTTCCGTGGGATTATGTTTGCATAATTGGCGCCAGCTGCGCTCACGGGCTGGTTCCTAATTAGCGCTGCCGCATAAATATTCCTCCCGAGGAGGCAGCCTGATAGAGCCAAGGTGGGAGCGTCGGTGGCGCAGGGCGGACTCTGCATGGTTGGATCCACGCTGGCGCCCGTCCCCGCACGCTGCGGGTGCTGAAGCCATTGGTGGGGAGCGGGCGTCCCC